GGCCTCGAGGCTACTTGGCCACGATGCCGAGGTAGCGCGCGTCTGGACATTATAAAACTGCCTCTTGTCTTCTGCAGGACGACCACCCGCCGATTTCCTGTAACGTCTTACTGCCATCGACGAAGACCTTGCCTATTGTGTTTTCGGCCGTCCCTCTAGACATTAACTTGTAAAAAGAACTTTCAACCTCGAATTCCAATTCCATGTTAGAAATGGTTCATATTACACCGAATGTATGTGTTTAACAATTTTATTTATTTTAGTTTCTTAGTTTCTTCATGCATCGTAATGAAGGTGCGGCAAATTTCATCTTAGTTTCATTCTAATATCATTATACGTTTTGTATGATCCATGTTAATTGCATATTATTTTTTTGCGGAAACAAGAACCTCAAACACTTGGAGTAAGATCGAAGTGGTAATAAAATGTGCAATGCACATAAAACATACAGTAAGTCCATATTCAATATTTCAGGAATAAACAGCGGCGCGCTCCGTCTCAGGTAGCAAGCCGCCTTCGTCGGTCGACCGTAAGCGGCTGGTGTCATTCATACCTGAATGACTTTACATTTAGGGGGTGACTGTGTGGACGAGCTTGTCCTCCGTCGCGGGGTGCCGAACGATGTTTTTAAACGAGTGCATGCGTTAATTGCTTATCGTTCGAAGCTTCGTTCGATAGGATAATATCTTTATTCCTGAAATATTGAATATTGACTTACTGTATGTTTTATGTGCATTGCACATTTTATTACCACTTCGATCTTACTCCAAGTGTTTGAGGTTCTTGTTTCCGCAAAAAAATAATATGCAATTAACATGGATCATACAAAACGTATAATGATATTAGAATGAAACTAAGATGAAATTTGCCGCACCTTCATTACGATGCATGAAGAAACTAAGAAACTAAAATAAATAAAATTGTTAAACACATACATTCGGTGTAATATGAACCATTTCTAACATGGAATTGGAATTCGAGGTTGAAAGTTCTTTTTACAAGTTAATGTCTAGAGGGACGGCCGAAAACACAATAGGCAAGGTCTTCGTCGATGGCAGTAAGACGTTACAGGAAATCGGCGGGTGGTCGTCCTGCAGAAGACAAGAGGCAGTTTTATAATGTCCAGACGCGCGCTCCCTCGGCATCGTGGCCAAGTAGCCTCGAGGCCCCGAGTGGTGTATGAGAAAAAAATACAGATGTTGCTCTAAGAATATACGAAAAGAAACGCGACCTCCAAGACACTTTCCCATGCAGTTTTTCCTTCCCAAAAAGTATTGACCATGAAAGAGTGGGGATCGACCTATTACGCCACATCGATCCTAACGAGGGAGGATCAGTTCAACAATATCAGTCGTCCTTTCCGAACGGTGCCCTTTGCATTCTACGAGCAAATAGAGTTCATCTTCGGAAAACTAAGTTTTAGTTTATTTAGCGATTACGTAGTGATTATTTAGTAGTGTCGCGTATGTCGTCGTTATAAATAGTGCAAATTAATTATTGTAAGTCTTATTAATTATTGTAGGTTTTATTAAGTATTGTAGATTTGATTAATTATTGCAAGTTTTATTAAATATTGTAGATTTTATTCATTATTGCAGGTTTTAATAAATATTGTAGGTTTTATTCATTATTGCAGGTATTATTAAATATTGTAGGTTTTATTAATTATATCGTGTTAAAAATTAGTATAAAAGTTAGTGTTAAATAGTTTTAAATTAATTATTTTGAGTGTTAGTTTTGTGTAACCTATAGAGTGTTAAACCCAACGGAGGAACAGCTCGCGGGTCTACTTAATCGCGCAGTGTGTGAACATTTTTCGCGGTCGGGACAATCGCGCAGTGTGTATGGACATTTTTCGCGGACGGGACAATGGCTCAGTGTGTGTGGACACTTTTCGCGGACTTCTGTGGTGTACGTGCGTGTGCGGATTAATTTCATGGATACTCGTGGACAGGACAATTGTGATACGTGACAACTAGAGGGGGCATTAACCCTCTCTACTCGATAATATTCGTAAGAAGATATTTACATTTCTTGCGAATTTTATCGAGTAATCAGAGTTAATGCGATACAAATGGATTCGACTCAAATACCGCGGGCACAAGTTATCGACATCTTCTACGAGGTAAGTAAACAGCTGTTCTACCGACTGTTCCTGCACGTCGTTGAGTCTTTAAAGTGACTGTACGCCCCTGTTGAGCCGTGATCCGCTGACACTCCGTGCGCGCGGATTGCCATGATTTCGGTCAATTTTTAAACTCTTATAACTAACAAACGAAGCATTTTTCGCAATTTCGTTATTCTTGATCTTCGTCTTATTTTGCCTCAAAGAATCACCCCTTAAATTTTTTCCCACTAGTTGTCGAACACCCTGTATATTGGTTGTATCGGCTTAGATTTTTACCTGGTTGTTTTGTAGTTGTTTCATTGTATATTTGTTGTCCGCTGTTTCTTTTAAAAGATCCAGTAGAGGTTCTATAATTTGAGTTTCAATATGAATTGGAGGCGGTTTCGGTTGAGGAGTCTCCTTATTGACGGACTCTGAGGGTTCATCAGTGACTTCAGGTAGTAAGCTAAATGGGTTTGTAAGTGGTATATTATTCGAGAGCCATTTGTCTTGCTGTTGCAGTTCTGAGTTCGTTATGTTCTGATTATCAGGTATTATGACTTTGCGCTTTTTGTTATGGACAGGACGGTATTCACTGTTTGACTGTTTGTCGGTTTCCTTCTCATAGTCTGTATCCATACAGTTTGTTACATTAGGGTTGTTTCTTATTAAAAATTGATCTCCAGTTTTAGCAATTTTTAGTCTTAACGTATCTTGTTGTTTTGATTGTGCCATTTGACTGTCTAGACTTGCCTCGTGGCAAGCAAGTTTGGTTATATATTCGTCACGGTTACTCGTATACACACGTACGCACTACTCGCACTCGCACGTAGGATATTTAGCCGCTTCGTAAACACGTCTGTTCGAGTCGACGTTTCGAATGAGACTGTTTTAAGAGTGGTTGCGTATTTCAGTCGTCGGACTACGAGCGAGGAATCGCGATATCACTCTTACGAACTTGAAACTCTTGCAGTTGTAAACGCTCTGAAATACTTTCGGGCCTACCTACTGGGTATTCATTTTAAAATCATTACTGATTGTAATGCCTTAAAAGCAACTAAAGATAAGAAAAACATTTTGCCGCGTATTGCTCGATGGTGGGTGTATCTACAGGATTTTCAATTTGATATAGAGTACCGTAAAGGAAGACAAATCGAGCATGTGGATTTTTTGAGCCGAAATCCACCGAAGAGTAGGCAAATAAATGCAGCGCGTTTAGATAAACATGTAATATCTACTGACTCTTGGATAAAGGTGGCTCAAAGGAATAATGAAGAGGTTCAAACATTAAGTAAACGGGTAGAAGCTGGAGACGCTGTATGTAGTGATTTTTGTATGTTCGAAGGTATTTTGTGCCGTAAAATACATAGTAATAAAGGAAACATCCTTTCACGTTTTTATATTCCGAGAGGGTACCGGATCGCGTTGCTACGCCTTTATCATGACGAAAATAGTCATGTAGGGTATGAGAAGACGTATGAATGTATCTCACGGAAATTCTGGTTCCCGCGAATGCGCTTATTCGTGCAAAAATATGTAAAGCATTGCCTTACTTGTGTGGTTTCAAAACGCCATACTGGACCACAGCAAGGCTTGTTGCATTCTATTCCTAAGAAACCAATTCCGTTTGACACAATACATGGTGATTGTGTTGGACCTTTTAGTCAGACTAAAGAGGGGTATCAGCAGATCCTACTAATAGTGGACGCATTCATTAAATATTTGCAGTTTGTGCCTCTAAAATCATTAAGTGGCGCTGAGACATTGCAAGTATTTAAAGAAAGATTAACTCTTTTTGGTAGACCGCGAGTTGTAGTATTGGATAGAGGTACAAATTTTACATATAAACCGTTGCAATTGTGGTTCAAAAAGCAGAATATAGAATTACATTTAATTGCTATTGACGCCCCACGTGCGAATGGGCAGGCAGAACGTTATGTTGCTACAGTTACAAATTTATTAACAACAGAAGTTTCAAAATCTTCAGAATCGCCGAACAAGCTATGTAAAATACAAGAATCTCTAAACACAACGAAACAGTCATCTACAGGAGTTATACCCCAAGTTATTTATTATTTGGAGTAAATCATAATACAGGAAATGCTTTACATACTGAAGCCGAATTACCCGAATTGGAGGAGGAATTAAATTTAATGCGCGATAGGAAAATCGCGTCGGAAAGATTGTCAAAGAATGCGGAGAAACAGGAAGACATCTTCAACAAGAAGCGTCGTAACAATATTGAATACAAAATTAATGATACTGTGTTCATTAAACCCGCTGCAACGCGTGGAGCGAAACTAGATAACAAATATGTGGGTCCATTTGTTATCACCGAAATTATGTCGAATGAGCGGTATAAGATCCTTGGTCAATCAAGGAGGTCACAAGTGGCACCGAAAGACCGATTACGTTTATGGAACGGTGAGTGGTCTGGCGATGGAGCGTTTGTCGACAGTGATTACGAGAACGTGAATGAGCCGTGTTAGCGAGGTAATGTAAATTAAATTTGAAATCAGTAACCAGAAGGTAGAATTTCCAGTTCCGTATTGAATAAATATTTTTTTCATAAATTCTAAATTGTTCAAGTACATATAATTGAGTTATTAAATTTCTCTCCTGTCATTGTTTTATTTATCCAAATCTTTATTCTTAGCGTTGTGGTTTTATATATATTCATCAAATTCCATGTTCAGTCGCATTCAAACTTAATGGGGAACACGTTTGTGTATTGTGGAGTACCAGTTGAGTGGTACGCTAGATAAGAAAAAAAAAATTAGCTATTGAGACGCGTTGCGTCTACCAGCAAAAGATTGGCTATTGAGACGCGTTGCGTCTACTAGCAAAAGATTGGCTATTGAGACGCGTTGCGTCTACTAGCAAGAGATTGGCTTTTGAGACGCGTTGCGTCTACTGGCAAAAGTTTGGCTATTGAGACGCGTTGCGTCTACCAGCATAAAGATTAGTTATTGGGGCGTGTTACGTCTATTAGCAAAAGATTGGCTATTGAGACGCGTTGCGTCTACTAGCAAAATATTGGCTGTCGAGACGCGTTGCGTCTACTAGCAAAAGATGGGCTATTGAGGCGCGTTGCGTCTACTAGCAAGAGATTGGCTATTGAGACGCGTTGCGTCTACTAGCAAGAATTTGGCTATTGAGACGCGTTGCGTCTACTAGAATAAAGATTAGTTATTGGGGCGTGTTACGTCTACTAGCACTGAGGTGGTTACGGGGATGTGCTGCATCTATAAAAAAAAAAATAAAAAAATATACAGGGTGTCCCAAAAATGTCCTCCGACCCGGAAATGTGGCACTCGGGGGGTGAATTGGAACAACTTTTTCCTTAGCAAAAATTTAAACTGAGGCTTCGTTTACGAGATATTAACGAAAAACCGCGACCAATCAGACCGCGAGTTTGCCAGCCGAGTTCCCGCGCTAGCGGTGGCTACGCGCTACGCTTGTACTACGATGCTCCGAACAAGTAGGTCACCATGCATCGCAGGAAACCGCGTATAATAATAGCAAATAAACAAGACGTAACAAATAAAATCATACTTTTTATCATTTGTCGTTTGTTATTTAAAGAGATTAATGAATGAAACGTAAATGTAGGCAAATTATGTTTAACGTAAAAAGACGAATACACATTTACATTTTTGTAAATTCCATTTTACGAATTTGTAAATTTCCTTTTCAAATAACGTATGAACGAAAGGGTAATGTAACAAAGAATAAACGAGAAGTGATTGTAGTTCGGTGAAATTAATAAAACAATAATGACCAATAAACTGAATAGAACTCACCCTTACGGAAATTCACCTGCAGCGTAGAAACCTGCGTCAGTAGGTCAGTGTACCGATCCTGGTCATCGACGGCCCAAACGGTTTATGGCAGGGTATGGCCCAGTTCGCAGGTGATCGCAGGTATACCTCACCAGCCGAAGTTAAGGGTTGTAACGTCAAGTGCGTCCTGGTTATTCCACAGAATACGTACTCGCTTCACTGCACGACCACTAACACTGATCACCCGACACAATCACTTAATGTATTTTTAATCCAACGTGTTGTTACTACGTTAGGAAAATTCGTGGCCTCGGAAAGGGCCGATTGTTTTCAATTTTTCAGATGTTTTACGTAACCAAACACTTGCACAGCAACACCCGCATATCCGTTATTGTGTACGTACCACCATAACATTGCGTAATACTCCCGTGAACTGAACATCTCTGTCGCCCGATTGCTAACCGACTGACAGAATTTTTCCTCTACCCCCAGAATCGTGTGACTCTCTGCCAGAATCGTGGAACTTGCTTCCACCACCACGACGTCCTGGCTACCCCCACTTTATTCCACAGTTTCTGCCACACAAGCATACTTTGCTTCTATGCGTGTGAGCTGGCTCGTTCGGGTGTTTTCCGTAAGATCTACGTTACCAACGCGACTCCCAACAACCAGAGCGCGTGCGCAGAAATCAT